AAAGAGCTAAATTTGTTTTTCTACAAGGTAGAGTGTGAGCTAAGCAGATTTCCTCTCTTATTTGTTTTGTTCACATTTATATTAACATGTACCAATTCAGAGTTTATATTTATGTAGAGCTCTATCTACTAGCATATTCGACGTAATAAGATAAAATCAAAACCGTTTAATCAATGGAAAGTTGGAAAAGACTCAATCTCAAATAGTTTTATGTTTATTTGTCAATTGTGTAGGTTTACAGAAAAGCACATCGTTTTTTATTCTTTTCTATATTTGGAGTATGGGTGCAGATGTAGAGTGTGAGTTCTTTGATCGTCAATACCCACACCCTCACCCTTTATCCCACGCTGATAAGAGTTAAAAGGCAGTCTTCTCAAAAATTAAAAAATCACGAAAATCTCTCAAAAACAGGGTAATAGAGTGATAATCTCTTCTGAAAGTCTGTTAAAATTTGACCTTCTTTCAACAATTCGGATATATTCTGAGAGAGGAAACTTCGCCGCACCTTCCTGTGGTAGAAACGAGCTTCAACTATTATTCGAAACAATGGATTTTCTGAGCGAGACCTTAAGTAGAAAAACGTTCAGTTATAATAATAGTTATTTTTTGAGCTAAATTTACAGAAGATAATTTTCGAATATGAGCACCAGTTGAACATGAAAAACAACGATCTATGTAAGCCATAACTAATAGCCAACGACATGACATAGCACTTGTTTGATTTAAATAAGCTCGTGTCCTACAAAAACTTGATATTGTAGTAAATGGATTTTTAAAATTATAAACAGTATAGATTTGTGGTACAATGCCTATTGAAAGGAATATTAATGCACTTATTAATGATGATAATAAATCTTTAATTGAAAAACAGGAAATTATCAATTATTGTTGTATGATTAAACAATTTACAAATACAGCATGAGTTTGATCGTAATTGACGTCCTAGAAAAAGAACTATATTTATTAATAAACCAATTGTACCCAGTACAAAATATTGTCGTATGACCATATCGAACTAACAGTTTTTACGCTATATTCAATGAAACAGTCAATGAAGACATATTGAATGTGTTATTTGTAATGCTTTCTGTCTGTTTCAAGAACTAACTTATTTTCTGACGTCATAAGGTATTTCATAAAAAGAAAAACAAATGAACGCGAAATAAGAAAGTTAATTATTCTAGTATTCATTGCCAGATTTTATTTCAGTAGTGATGATATTCTTAATCAAATATTAATGACAGAAATATTTTCATTTTCTTACTAAGAGAAAACAGGTATAAGTAGAGCGAATATGAA